AGGCTCCTCTCAGCTTGGACATTCTCTGCTAAAGGCCCTTTTCAATCAGACATTCCCTGTTCTGTGGTTAGAAAAAAAAAAAAAGAAGCCACAATCTGGACCTCTCTTTTTTTAATAGACACCTCTATTGTCAGGGCCCTGAGAAACTCATTCACCCCAATTCTCACATAAAAGAGGGAAGAAAAAGCTTTTACCATGGAGAGGAAGAAGGGAGAGATGAGAGGGAATGAATGAATCTTACTGTCATCAGATTTGGCTTAAGGAGGTAATAACATATACACTGAATTGGGTATGGAAATCTCTTACCCTACAGGAATATGGTGGGGAAGAGGACAAGAGAGGGGAGGATGATAGAAAGGAGTGCAGACTGGGGAAAGGGGTAATCAGAAGGAAACACTTTTGAGGAGGGACAGGGTCAAAGGAGAGAATAGAATAAATGGGGGTGGGATACGATGAAGGGAAATATAGTTAGTTTTTCACAATATGGCTATTATGGAAGTGTTTTGCATGACTACACATGTATAAAAGCAGTCAAGAGCTTGGTAAAGGAGGCACACAAAAAAATTATAAAGAAAATCATACCCTAAAAAAGGAAAAAAGTCAAATGGTAAAAGAGGCACAAAAATCCACTTGAGAACAACTCCTTAAGAAGTAGAGTCAGTCACATTGAAAAAGATGTATAAAAATTTCCTGAAGAAAACAATTCCTTAAAAAGTAGAATTGCAATGATGCAAGACAATTCTAAAAGACACACAGTAGAAAATGCTATCAAGCTCCAGAGAAAGAATTGATAGACTCAGAATGCAGATTGAAGCATATTATTTTCACTTTCTTTGTTTTTTTTCATTTTTCCCCTTTTGTTCTGTTTCTTCTTTCACAACATGATTAATGTGTAAATATGTTTTACATGTTTGCACAAATATGACCTATATCAGATTGCTTGTTATCTTCAGGAGGTAAAAAAAAAAAAAGGAAGGGAAGGAGGAAGATAAATTTGGAACCCAAAATCTTATAAAAAATGAATATTTAAAATTGTCATTACATGTAATTCGAAAAAATAAAATATTACTTAAAAAAATAAAAATGTAGAATTGGCCAAATGGAAAAGCAAATACAAAAGCTCAATGAAGAAAATAATTCCTTAAAAGTTAGAACTGGGTAATTGGAAATGAATGCCTCCATAAGATGTTAAAAAACAATGAAACAAAATCCAAAGAATGAAAAAATAGAAGAAAAGGTGAAATACCTTATTGGAAAAACAACTACTCTCAAAAAGAGGTCAAAGAGAGACTTTAAGAATTATTGGACAGCCTGAAAGCCATGATATAAATATTGTGGGGCCATAAACAGCATATCACATGATTTAGCAGCTTCTACATTAAAGGAACAAAGGGCTTGGAATATGATATTCTGGAGGGCAAAGGAGTGAGGATTACAACCAAGAATCACCTACCCAGCAAAAGTGAGTATAAACTTTTAAGGGAAAATAGATATTCAATGAAATAGAAGGCTTTAGAGTATTCCTGATGAAAAGACCGGAGCTGAATAGTAAATTGGACTTTCACTGATGGACTTCTGGGAGCCAAAGGCTGTTGAGTAAGCAGTAAATCACTGTAACTCTCCCATATTCACCTCCAAACTTCCATAAAATAGCACCCCAAAACAAATTCTGGAAGAGCAGAACTAGCAAAAAGACAGCATGAAACAATCTTGTGGTCCAAGAAACTTAGAAGATTGGCAAAAAAAAAAAAGTGTGGTGGAGCAGGCAAATGTAAACACCAGGACACCCCCATATGCCTCAGCATAGCCAGGGTAGAATTCAGCTCCAAGAATGACCGTGTGCTTGAGTGTAATGCTTGAAAAACAGGCATCCTCCAGTGGCCAGACCTCCACATGCTTCAGTGTAGCCCCATGAAAATGCTGAAACACCCCACCAGCCTCAGCACATGAAAGACACCACCACGAGGACCCCAGCTCAGCACCACGTTAGCTGCCAGATCCCTATGGCCAACAGCAGAGTCAGGTACCGCCCACCACACCCCTCAGTGCAGCACCAGACATGAGGGTCCCTCATGGGACTCAGGGCAACATCAGTGCAGCACCAGGTAAATAGCCAGGTCTTGCAACCACAGGCACAAGAAGCCTGAGACTGTGCACCTTCAAACCTGGGAAAAGATTTCAAATTGAAAAGAAAGGAAAAAAGCTCCCCCCCCCCCCGCCAAATGAGTAAAAAACAAAAAAAAATCTGACCATAGAAGGTTATTATGGTGACAGGGAAGGGTGGGTGGGGAAGGAGGAAGGGAGAAAATTTGGAACCCAAAATTTTAAAAACAAAAGTTAAAAAAAATTGTTTTCACATGCAACTGGGAAATAAGATATGCAGGAAATGGGGTAAAAATATCTACCCTGCTCTACTGGAAAATGAAAGCGGAAGGGGATGGGAGGGGAGAGATAGAAGGGAGGGCAAATTAGGGGTATTCAGAATGCATGCCATCTTGGGGAGGGGGAAAGGACGAGATGGGGAGAAAATTTGGAGCTCAAAATCTTGTGGAAGTGAATGTTGAAAAGTAAAAATAAATTAATTAATTAAAAAAAATAAAAACACTGCATACTATCCCCCCCCCCAAAAAAATTGGGTGGCCATGTGAAAAAAAGAAAGATAGAAGAAAATTTAGGGAAAAAAATGAGAGTGATAGAAGAGAATTAGAAAAAAATTCAACAGCTTATTTACTTATTCAGTGCCATACCAATCAAACTATCAACAAATTATTTTATAGAGCTAGAAAATATAAAGGTCCAGAATATCAAGAAAACAAATGAAAAGTAATGCAGGGGAAGGTGGCCTAGCTGTTCCAGATCTTAAATTGTATTCTAAAGCAGCAATCATCAAAGCTACTTGGTACTGGCTAAGAAATAGAGTGGTGGATCAGTAGAATAGATTAGCTATGCAAGACACAGTAGTCAATGACTATAGTAATCTACTATTTGATAAACCCAAAAACCCCAGCTTCTGGGATAAGAACTCACTATTAGACAAAAATTGCTGGGAAAACTGCAAAAAAATATGGAAGAATCTAGGCATAAACCAAAATCTCATACCATGTACAAAAATAAAGTCAAAATGGTTTCATGATTTAGATATAAAGGTAAGCAAACTGGGAGAATAAGGAATAATTTACCTGTCAGATTTATGGAGAACAGAGGAATTCATGACTAAACAGTAGATAGAGAACATTATGCACTGCAAAATGGATAATTTTGATTACATTAAATTGAAAAGCTTTTGCACACACATAGTCAATACAACCAAGAATAGAAAGGAAGTAGAAAAGTCGGAAAGAATTTTTCCATCCAGTCTCTCTGATAAGGGTCTCATTTCTAAAGTATATTATAGAGAATTAAGTCAAATTTATAAGAATACAAATCATCCCCCAATTGATAAATGGTCAAAAAATATGAACAGGCAGATCTCAGATGAAGAAATTAAAGCCATATATAGTCATATAAAAATACTCTAAATCATTATTGATTAGAGAAATGCAAATCAAAACAACTCTGAGGTACCACCTTACACCTATCAGATTGGACAACATGACAATACAGGAAAATGATCAATGTTGAAGATGTGGGAAAATTGGAACACTAATGCATTGTTGGTGGAGTTGTGAAGTCATCCAACCATTTTGGAGAGTAATGTGGAACTATGCCCAAAGGGCTATCAAAATGTTCATAGCCTTTGACCCAGCAATAGCACTTCTACGGCTGTATCCCAGAGAGATCATACAAATGGGAAAAGGACCCACGTGTACCAAAATATTTATAGCAGCCCTTTTTGTGGTGCTAAAGAATTGGAACTTGAGGGGCTGCCTATCAATTGGGGAATGGCTGAATAAGTTGTGGTATATGAATGTAATGGCATACTATTGTGCTATAAGACATGATGAGCAAGTGCACTTCAGAAAAACCTGGAAAGACTTGTATGGTCTGATGCTGAGTGAAGTGAGCAGAACCAGGAGAACCCTTGTACAGAGTAACAGCCATGTTGTGTGATGACTAAAGTTGATAGCCTTAGCCCTTCTCAGCAATGCAAGAATTTAAGACATCTCCAAAGGTCTCGTGATGGAAAATGCTCTCCACATCTAAAGAAAGAACTGTGGAGTTTGAATGAAGATTGAAGCATACTATTTGCTCTTTTTTTTCTTCTGTTTTGTTTTGGTTCTTCTGTCTGGTGGTTCTTCCTATTGGTTCTAACTGTTCCTTACAACATCACCAATGTGAAAACATGTTCAATGGGAATGTATATGTGTAGCCTATATCAGGTTGTGCACTGTCTTGGGAAGGGAGAGGGGAGGGAGGGGGAGAAAAATTTAAAACTCAAAAGCTTATGGAAGTGATTGTTGATAAATCAAAATAAATGAATGAAAAAGTAAAATTGGCCAAATGGAAAAGAAAGTACAAAAGCTAACAGGGGAAAAATGCCTCCTTAAAAGTTAGAATTAGGAGAGAGGATTCTGGGAAGATGGTGGAGTAGGTCAGAAAATTCCAAGATTTTCCCCTCAAAAGAGACAAAATAGCACCTTAGGGCAAACCAAGTGCCAGTAAAAATAAATAAGAATACAGGCACCACAGGAGTGTTCCTGGGACAATTCCAGAATATCAGAAGAAAAATTCGCGGATGGATTTGGCCCCTGTGAAGATTAAACACCTCCACCAGTCTAGGGGCTGTGTTACCATCAAGCTGCAAGCTGCTTAAACAACAAGCCACAAGCCCTGGGGTTAGCCGGTTTGGGAGGCTGCCTCAGCCCCAGCGACAGGAACCTTTACCCGGAGAATGAGAGGGGAGCAGGGCGTCTGAGCCCGGGAAGACCCGAGGAGCCTCTGCTGACCATGAACGCCAGACCCGGCTGTGAGGCAGAGAGCGGAGGAGGGAGGGGGTGAGAGAGAAGGCGCCAGCCACGCCCCCCTGGTGAGCGCAGGAGCGGTGGGGCGGAAGGAAGGGCCCTGGTCGTGGGCACTTGCAGGAGGTTGGAGGTTTGGCTCGGGCTCCAGGCTAGAGGGGAGAACCGAAGAGCAGGGGCCAGAGGCACCACCCCCCCTACCCCAGGGCTGGAGGTGATTCCACACATTAAGCAATTGCTGCAAGAATACACAGGCAAAGGAGGCAGAATCCAACCCCGTAGAAAGCTGTTGTGGGAACAGAGAAGGCCGGGGTACGTCTTCGGAGGAGGATACTGAAGCACGGAAACGCCCTCCTGCCCCGAAGAGGAGCATCACATGGTCGCCTGCTCCCCACAAAGAACTCAGAGGAGAATTTAGGAATCCAGCGAGAGGCGGCTCTGACCCGCGGCGGACTCCCAGGCATGGCGTCCCGGAAGCGGAGCCGAGCCGTGATGGAGGAGAGTGAGATGGAAGAGGCGGGGCCTGCCTGGGCCGAGGCTGCGGGGATCCCGGGCCCCAGCACGGGCTTCGGGCCGTCCTTCCCACCCAAGGTGTGGGTGGCAGGCGCGGTGGGGGCGGCGGGGGCGGCGGAGGCGGCGGGCGGCAGCGGCTTCGGGCGGGGGGGAGGCCTGGCCCCGCTGCCCGGGCCCCCGCCCTCGGGCCCTGCCCAGCCCCCGGAGGCCGAGCTGCCCAGCCCCCCGGTCTTCTGGGACCCGACGCTGAGCTCGGACTGGGACAATGAGCGCGCCACGCCGCAGTGCCTGCTGCGGATCAAGCGGGACATCATGTCCATTTACAAGGAGCCGCCCCCCGGGATGTTTGTGGTGCCCGACCCCCTGGACATGACGAAGATTCATGCATTGATCACGGGCCCATTTGACACTCCTTATGAAGGGGGTTTCTTCCTGTTCCTGTTTCGCTGCCCTCCAGATTATCCTATCCGCGCCCCCAGGGTCAAGCTGATGACCACGGGCAATAACACGGTGAGGTTTAACCCCAACTTGTACCGCAGTGGGAAAGTCTGCCTGAGTATTCTGGGTACTTGGCCTGGCCCTGCCTGGAGCCCAGCCCAGAGCATCTCCTCCGTGCTTGTCTCCATCCAGTCACTCATGAATGAAAACCCCTACTACAATGAGCCTGGCTTTGAGCAGGAGAGAAACCCAGGAGACAGCAACAACTACAATGAGCTTATTCGGCATGAGACCATCAGAGTGGCAGTCTGTGACATGCTGGAGGGAAAGTGTCCCTGCCCTGAGTCCCTAAGGGGTGTGATGGAGAAGTCCTTTATGGAGTATTATGACATCTATAAGATGGTGTGCAGAGACCGTCTACACCTCCAAGACCAGGCGATGCAGAGTCCTTTAGGGGAGAACCGAGGCTACTTTGACTATGAGTCCCTCCTGATTCGCCTCGGGGGAATTCGTCTGAAGGTGCAGGACAGTGCTGAAATATACTCTGATAGCAATTCATCTGAAACAGAGACAGATATGCAGGGGAGCTCAAGAGCCTAGATGCCCACCACCCCATCTCTGGGATGGAGCAGCACCACATCTCCCTCCAGCCCCAGCAGCATCCTGCCTGAGGCAAGAACCAAGAACACTCAGACCCCAGGGTGGGAGTGGACTGTTGTTTGCAACCTTCTTGGCATCCTGGTACCAAGGACCATTTTCATCCCATGCCTAGGGCCAATCCCAAGGTACTGATACAGGAGAGCCCAGAGCATGGTTCTCTGGCAAAAAAACTGATGGACATTTCTGATGGGGTTGGGATCTGGGCCCCAGAAAGAAAAAACCCTGGACTTTCCCACATGGTCAAATCTCTGGCATTAGCCTGAGGCTGTAATCTCATCAACTGGCCTTTCATTGTGGCTACACCCAATCTCCCAGTTCTGTTTAACCTAGCCTGGCCTTCCTTTGTCTTACCTCCCTATGTATGGCCCCCGGCCATTTCCCACCCTTAATCCTAGCTAGGCTCCATTGTCCCTTGGCCGAGGTCCAGGGCTCAGGAGTTCTGTTCACCCCAGTTTACTGGCCACTCCTAAGTCCCTCCCACAGTCTTTCTATATATAAGGCCCACCTTGTTTCCATTAAGATGCTTAGATTCTTAAAATCTAGCCACTGCTTACCCATGTTCAGACTCCTTAAGAGTCTGACCAACAGTATGGATGTTCTAATAAACCTTGTCTTTAGTTGAAAGAAGGCTTGGGTCAAATTCTTTTGGGCAGGACCAGCGTGTTGTGATTTTGGGGTCCCAGGACCCCTGAACCCCTAAATCACATCGTTTCCACTGGGGCAGTTTGTTAAGGATAGAAGGCAAAGACTGCAACTCCCAGAGGGGGTTGCTCAGAATAGTCAATGGGGATACCAGGAGGGGGGGCAGGGTCAAGGGAGTGGGGAGGGAGGGAAATAGGGAGGGTGTCACATGACCTGTCCAGGTGGTTGTCTGGGTGTCTGTCTTTCAGTCTTGAAGCTGGGCCTTCTCCTTGCTTAACCCAGCCCAGCCTAGTGTAACCTCCTGGACCTCATTTCCTGTCTGCCACCATAATTTTGTTTTCCCTAATATATAGTCACTGTTCTAGACAGACCAAAGAGAAAGAACAGTGGTGGAGTCTGGGCTACTGGTCAGAAAGCTTTACCTAGCACCCAAATTAAAAAAAAAATCAAATGAGAGAGATGGAGGAAAAACTAAAAAAAAAAAAATGAGAGTAACCCAAGAAAAACAAGAAGACTATGAAAGTCAACCAATTAGAAAAGGAGATCCAGAATCTTAAGGAACAAAATGACACCTTGAAAATTAGAATTGGGCAAGGCGAAGCCAGCGAAATTATAAGAGATCAAGAAATAATTAAACAAAATATGAATAATAAAAAAAGAAGAGAAAGTGAAACATAAGAAAAACAGGAGATCTAGAGAATAGATCAAGAAGAGAAAACATGAAAATAAGTGCATTAACTGAAAGCTATGACCAAAAAAAGAATCTTGATACAATAACACAAGAAATAATTAAAATTGTCCTGAAGCAGGAGAACAAGGGGAGGAAAGTAGAAATAGAAAAAATTAATCAATCATCACTTAAAATGTACCCTGTGAGGAAAACTCATTGGAATATTGTAGTCACATTCTGCAACCCTCAGCTGAAGGATAAAATATTAAAAACAACAAGAAAATTTAAATATCATGGTGCCATAGTTAGAATCACACAGTTAGCTATAGAGAAATATATCTCTACTCAGTTGTAGCCTTCTGGGGCAGGGATGGGAAAAACAAAACAAAGCAAAAAAGTACATAGCAGAGAACAAAAGAAAGCTTACAAGGAAACAAAGAAAAGATGAACAGCTCTCAGCAAGACCTAGAAGCAAAGACATTAAAGGACCACAGGTCTTGGAACACCATAGAGCAAAAGAACTGGGATTCCAGCTGAAAACATTATACCCAGCAAAGTTCAGCATAATCCTGAATGAAAAAAGGACATTTGATCAACTGTCAGACTTTCAAGATTTTGTTAAAAAAAAAAAAACTTGAACTTTATTGAGGTTTCAACATACAAAAGCCAAGAGAAACATAAGGTACCTACCAAAGACTGATTATGAGGGATTCAATAAGGACAGACTGTTTACTTTTTATATATGTAAAACCTAAAATGTATGTCTAAGATTCTTATCAATAATTGGGTAGCTCATAAGAAAATTTGAGTTGACCTGAGTATGATGTGACTTTAAAAAGTAAAATCATTTAGGAACAGCCAAAAAGAGTAGTTGTTTTATACAAATGAGGTGCAAGAGGAAGAATTGATTCAGGGGAATTAGATGAGGGAGGAGGGCTGGTAGTTCTGGTAACATACTTTTATCAGGAATGGGTTTAAGAGGGAACTATATATCTATATATTTAGAAGAGTATAAAAGTCTTGTAAATTTAGAAGACAAAATGATGATGAGATAGGGAGAGGGGAGAGGACAAGGGAGGCATCACTAAAGGAGGATTAGAGAATAGGGTATAAGGGCTATGGAAGAGTATGTAGATTTATGGGAATGGGAGGCTAGGGGAGGGATCCTTGGAAGGGGGTAGGCTAAGTAATAGAAGGGCAAGATAGAGAGTAGAAGTAGAGGACTCAGGAGGGATAAAAAACGAGATATGAACAAGCATAAAAACAAAGATCAGGTGTAGAATTTATTTGGGAATGCATATGTCCATATATGTAAGTATATATGTATATATGTATATGTATATATTTATAGCTATAGAGAAATATATCTGTACTCAGTTGTAGCCTTCTGGGGCAGGGATGGGAAAAACAAAACAAAGCAAAAAAGTATGTAGCAGAGAACAAAAGAAAACTTACAAGGAAACAAAGAAAAGATGGACAGCTCTCAACAAAATGTGTAGTATTAATCATACCGGCTTTCTTGAAGTGAAAACTTACTGTTACATGTTTTGAATCCTCTCTTATGTTCTGCTATGCACATGACATGCTTTTTTTTTTCTTACTCTCCAATTAAGTTCCAGTATTTAAGTTTATGATATGTCTTTGTTTGCTTTTCTCTGTTTGCTTTTCTCTGTGTCAGCTAGGTGGTACAGTGGAAAGAGCTCTGGCCTTGGAGTCAGGAGGATCTTAGTTCAAATCCGGCCTCAGGCACTTGACACTTACTAGCTGTGTGACCTTGAGCAAGTCACTTAACCCCAACTGCCTCACCAAAAAGCAAAAAAGAAAAGTTAGAATTGGACAAGTGGTAACTAATGACTCTATGAAACACCAAGAATCAATCAAACAAATTCAAAAAAATGACAAATTAGAAGAAATTGTGAAATACCTCTTTGGAAAAAAAACTGATCAAGAAAATAGATCCAAGAGAGACAATATCAAAATCATTTGACTACCTGAAAGTCATAATCAAAAGGAAGACATGGACAGTATCTTTCAAGAAATTATTGAGGAAACTACTCTAAAGCCCTGGAACCAGAGGGCCAAATAGGCACTGAAAGAATCCACTAATCACCTCAGGAAAGAGATAGCCAAATAAAAACTCCAAGGAGCATTATAGCCAAATTACAGAACTATCAAATCAAGGAAAAATATTGCAAGTGGCCAAAAAAAGACAATTCAACTATCAGGGAGCCACAATCAGGATTACATGGAACTTAGCAGCTGCGAAATTAAAGGATCAGAGTTCATGTAACATGATATTCAGGAAGGCAGAAAAACTAGGCCTACAACCAAGAATCACCTACCTGACAAAATTAAGCATAATACTGTAAGGGAACAAATGGTCATTCAGTGAAAGAGATGGATTTGAAGCTTTCATAAGGAGAAGACCAGAATTGAAGAAAAATCTCACCCCGATATCAAGAGCCAAGAAAACCCGAAGAAGGGGAAAAGGGAAAAGAGAACATAAGGGATTCAGTGGAGATGAACTGTTTACATCCCTATGTGGAAAGATAATACTTGTAATTCTTAAAAAGTTGTACCACTAATAGTAGAGCTAGAAAGAACATACATAGACAAAGGATACCAGTATAAGGTGAATTTGAGGTAATGACATAAAAAATCGTTAAGGAATGAAAATGAGGACCAGGTACAGAAGGAAGGGAAAGGCAGAATGGGGTAAATCATTTCACATGAAGAAGAGAGAAAGATCTATTACAGTGGAGGGGAAGATGGGATGGTGGGCAATGGGCATCAGCTTGAACCTTACTCTCATCAGTATTGGCTCAAAGAGGGAATGATATACACACAGTTGAATACAGAAATCTATCTTACCACACAGGAAAGTAGAAAGTGAGGAGATTAAATAAAGGCAGGAGGATGGAAGGGAAGTGACAGAAGAGAGGTCAGATCTAGGAGGTGGTAGAAAGAAGCAAACCACTGTCAAGGACAGAAAGAGTGAGAGGAGAGAGAGGACAAACAGGAGGAAAAAATAGGATGGAGGGAAACACACAGGTAGTAATGATAACTGTGGATGTAAATGGCATGAAATTTCCCATAAAAAATAAATGGATAGCAGAGTAGATAAAAAACCAGAATCCTATAATATGGTGTTTACAAGAAACACACTTGAAGCAAAGAGACACACATAGGGTAAAGGTAAGAGCCTGGAAAAGGATCTATTATGCTTCAACTGAAGTAAAATTTAAAAAAAAAAAAAAGCAGGGGTAGCAATCTTGATCTCAGACAAGGCAAAAGTGAAAAGACCTAATTGAAAGAGATAAGAAAGGAAACTATATCTTGCTAAAAGGTACCATAGACATTTAAGTAATTTCAATACAAACATATATGCACCAAATGGTATAGCATCCAAGTTCTTAAAGGAGAAATTAAATGAGTTACGGGTTATTGAATGAACAAGAGATAGAGAGCATCATGGGATGTAAAATAGATCATTTTGATTATATTTAATTGAAAAGCTGGTCTTTCTGTGCTCCCACACCCACACTGATTTGTGTTTCTCTCCCAGCTCAGTATGATAGACCTTTCTAATCAGCCATCCAGGTTGTCTTGGGCCAAAAATGTGTTTCACTCTGTCTATTTGTGGGTTCTGCTACTCTAGAATTTGTTTAGAGTCATTTTTTACAGGTATTTGGAGAGGTTTGGGGGAAAACTCAAGCAAGTCACTGCTTTTACTCTGCCATCTTGGCTCCACCTCCTTCTCCAGCTCATTTTACCAAAGAGGAACTAAGCCAAACAGCCTTGAGTGACTTGCCCAAGTCACACAGTTAGTAAGTGTCTGAGGCTAAATTTGAACTCAGAAAAATGAGTCTTTCTGATTTCAGGCCCTTCATTCTATACATGGTGCCAGTTAGCTGACTATCAAATGAAAT